AATATAATTTTCAAAACCAATCTATACTCGTTCCTGGTTTTAGCGCGACACCACCGCGTCGCGCAGCTACCCTAATTTAATTAATCGATGATCTCATTAACGTTTGGATTAATTTCCGGACAATCACGTGATCATCCGGAGAACACATTTTCGATTTGCTATCATAATGAATGATATACATTATGTAAAATTTTAACTCCTTCCAAAAATGAATAAATGAAAATCATAACTTTTAACAAAAAAGGATTTTGTAAAAAACAGGATAAGCGACATAGGAAAAGTCGATACGTACCTAACACGTCTCATGTTACACTGATGTTGTATACCCAAGTAAATCAAACATAGATGAAAATTCTTTTATATATATTATAGTAGCGATTAATTAACGAAATATAGATATTAGCAAACAAGTTAACATACGGTTTATGGTGCTATTGTTTAAACATCGCATTCATACGAAAAAAATCATTAACGATTGCTCGGCCCGAATCGTGATGGGTTGGGCTAGAACTAACAATTTTGTATAAGATCGCTCAAATGCATAGTCCATTCATTAAATCCATTAAGTAAAAATTCACAGATAATAAATTTATTATAGATATAGTCGGCTCAATTTCGAAGAATTTCGATCAGGGTTGCTCCGTAAAAAATAGGTTCAAACACAAATGCTTAATAAAATTTTTTTAATAAATTTGTATCGATTGAAACATTCGTCAATTAATAATTGATATGGTGTTTTCCCACGCCGTAACTTAATTTCAATACATTATCAGTATCATTTCTGATCTAATGATATTGTGGCTTCATTGAGAAGTCAATCAGTAAGACGTGCAAGTCGTGTGTATAAGTTCCTGATCTGCATGGCATATGCTGATATGTAGATCCAATCATACCGCGCTGATCAGATTAGACCTCCGAATTTAATTCATAAATTCAGAAATTGTTGGAAATAGTTGGACTCATTTGATTCGATCTTTTTAAATTGACCAAATTTTAGTCTATTAGCAGATAGAATTTTTTATGATTATAGTCAATTCAGTTTCCTTTTGTAATAAAGTTAATACATGGTTTAAATTTTATTTTTATTGAGAGATTTATTTAGCACCTTGATTTAATATAACGTTGAGATATCCAGTGAAGTATTCTTTTCGCATAATACCTCGGTATTAATAACGATACATTTTTGATATTTGTGAGATTATCGTTATGTATAATTGCATGATAAACTTTAACAACATCATTGACTTATTAATTCCAACGCTTCTGCACTTAATCCGGTTTGTGATGATATTGCGTTAACTACAATGCAAATCTCAGGTAAATCATAGTTTATCTAATCTTCGCCATTATAAATAGATTTTGAGGCTTACCTTTTTTATTAATATATGCATGTATGTATTTCCAATTATGGAATGATTTTTCAGAATTCGTGTTGATATTCCATATTTTCTCAAAAAAAAAATAGTTATATCTATATTTGATACAGGCCGAAGTCCGAAACTCGTATGGCGTCATTTCGAGAAAATACAGGTTTTCTAAAATTAACATAATCATATTAATACATTTTATTCCTAATAAATCGAATATCGGAGTTAATTAGTTTTTTCTGCGGATCATTCACGTACGTACGCTGAAAATGAGTCAACATAATTCTATATTCATTTATTGATACGTATATAAATTTTGATCATGTCTTTTTTTTTCTTTGGTAAATTCTAATTTTAAAATTTAGTATATTTTTATACCTTCTAAACGAAATGAAGATTTTATTATATGATTTGATATTCGCAATTATCATATGCTTGTTAGCAACTTTACCAACAGGATTTGCACAAAATATATTGACATCTACAAGCATTACCCATTCAGAAATATCAATTCAGCCCAATCTTACCGGTGTTCAACCTCGCGTCTTAGGTATCTACCATTATCAAGACAGTTCAACAGCGGTCGTTCGCATTGCTCGGGAGAATTATGATGTTGGCATAATTAGGTGTTTTGAGCGTAGGCTATTACTTCGTGTTATTCAAGCTAATGGAAGTATTATCGAAATAAATTATGAAGATCCTACTGAAATACAAGATATCAATTATTGTTGGGTTTATGTTAATAATAGTAATATCATGACCCCTAAACCACCCCTAAATGTATACCCGTTATTTGAACAATACATTCTAGTGACATACACTCATGCCACTAATATCTCTGATAATACAACTTTTACTGACCGTGGAATGGTTTTAGATTGGGGTGGAAATGTTATAAGGTTTGTTAATAATAATAATAATAATAATAATAATAATAATAATAATAATAATAATAATAATAATAATAATTACTATTATTATTTATTATTATTATTATTATTATTATTATTATTATAGTATACACTCTACTCTCGTCATAGGAAATCAATCAGGTTTCTATTACCGTATTGGCGCGAAATAACGCGCAGGGTGAAATTATAAATTTCAGCCTAAATTAAGCTTAATTCGGGCCAAACCTCTAAATAACGCCCATGCCCGTTATTTCGCGACAATACGTTCTGTACGATTTATTTTGTATATTTGATTTGGAAAATATAAAATGTTATATGGCATTTTTATAAGATTTTTAAATTGGTTTAAAATGATAATTCTGTTATAACGAGGAATCCCCTACTGTATAACGAAGGTAGAGTGTAAGCATTCAATGTTTCAAATAGTAACATTTATAATTTGTTATATAATAGTAAGCTCGAATTTGGACCATCTTACTTGCAACCAAGGACAACAAATTGGTATCCAGATGACTATGTAGTTAATAATATTACTCCAAAAAAGGGTTTTTTACGTTTATCCGGGACTAGGATTACTGATAGAATAAGCGCTTTCGAATGGAAACAATATGGATAGTAGGTTACATTTTTGTATTTATTAATTATATACTATAAAAAATGTATACTTATTTATTTTAATTATATATTTTATTTATTTCTTTTCTTTTTAGTGTTGGCAATGGGATATTCACTTTATTATCGAATGACACCGTTATAAATTTAGATAATGCAACCAGCAGCTTTCAAATTGTAGTATTTCCAACTTTAAACGATGGATATGCGATTGTATACGCTAATTCGACTAATAGGGTTGTAACTTCTGACCCGCTATCCGACGTATTTAGTGCTAGAGCAGGAATATATGCAATATTATTAACTTATAATCAAACAAGAACCAGTGAAAGAATTATTTTATATGAAATAAGCACTCCTAATATATCATTCACTGCTTTGTATTGCTCTGTCGACTACGTTTTCATTGGCCATTCATGCATCGTACCCGTACAGCGAATAGTTCAAGAAACATATATTACCAATGTTACTTATTATAATATATCTACGACTACAGTTACGGCTACACGTACGACTACACTTGTCAGCTCATCTACAACTGCTGTTGTAGGTGTTCCAACGCAGTTTCCCACGCAAATTCCCACGCCAATTAACGTTTCAATACCTGTTACTAACACTACGCCTACCATAATGACATCTTATATTAGAATACGTTTCCTTTCTAGTGGTTCTGTATTGACATTGAACCCACTAATCAATATAACTACGAGTTTACAACCAATGATTAGAACATTGCCCCTTGGAGGACACACTTTTATACTACGACCGGTTGATAATCAAAATAATCAAAATATAGATTTCTTCTTTACGCTTTATGATGAAAATAATAGACTATCTCCATCTGAGTATCTACAACAACCAATTCTTGCAAATCTATATGGTGCATTTGACGTAACACAAAATAATATGTTGCTAGTGGCACAAAATGAAACGACCACTTCTTGGAGTCTTCTTTCGATCAATTTGCCGGCTCTTTCCCCACTTAAAGGTGAAAAAAAAAACCTTATAATATGAAAAATGTTAATTTGAATTATAGCAATATTTATCAATCTCTTTTAATCTCTTATAGATAGTGGCTATGGTAATTTACATGTGACTACAACATATCCCCAAAGAAATTCTACGGATCTAACTTTAAATACCAAAGTGATTAACATTACATTTCAAGAACAAATTTCATTGTCGGATGGAAATTTAATTATTTATCAATCAATCAACCAAACCAATATTCTTCGACAAATAATAAATTCAAGAACTTGTGATGTTAATACTAATAAATGTTCAATAAATAATAATACTGTCAGACTTGAAGCATTTTCTTCTACCTTTAATGATCCGAGTGGTCAATATTTCATACAAATGGATAATAACTTTGTAAAGAGCGCTTTATATAATGAACCAATATTAGGAATTGAACCAAATATATGGACTTTTCAAACAGGTTTATATGAATTGTAATATAATTATAATTCTTTTTAATTATTAAGTTTATTCTTTATTAACAGTAAATCTCATCAACAGCCAAAAATGTATCAACTGCACGTGCTGGTACGTAATACTATTTAAATTGGTTACCTACAAATTGGTTATTTACAATTTTATTTATAAAATTTATAAATGTATAGTAATAATAATGTTAACTCTAAATTTTATAATTTATTTAGGTGATGTCTCAGGAAAATTACTATTAACAGTTGCTGGATCTAATCAGTTTAGCCAATTAAATGACTCGGGAAAATATCAATTTTTTACAAGTTTAATAGATGAACTCACAGTCAGAATTCCTATAGCAGTGGGAAGATTAAGTACAAATGGACATACTCAATTTGTTAACCCTTGGTCCGAATCAGAGCAAATCCTTATCTCACTTTTTATTAAAGAATCAAGCAAGAATGACGAAAAACTTACTGTAGTTACCAGATCTGAATTAGACACTTTAATAAAAGAGAAACAGTTTACAGGAATATCGACAGGAGCAGTTACGAATCTTTTAGATGAAAAATATGGATTTCAACAAATTGGTAAGAACTTATCGTTGCAATATGACCATCAATCAATTTTCAAGTTTAGGTGTAACGTGAAATTGAAACAATAAAAAAGTTTAATATAATAATGATGAAGTCACGTTAAATCTGATCTCGCAAATAATTTGCACGTAGCAATTTTATTTATTGTTGTTCTTTTAATAGCATCACCAGGGGAGTTCTTTCAAATACATAGCACAAAAAATCATTTTATATATTGTGGGCATGGTATTATGTTTAGCAATTTTCATTGGAGCTCGACTAAAATCGCCAGAGGTAATTATTTTAATTGTTATACTTTTTTTTTGTTTTTTTTTTATACTCTCTCTATAACTAACATACAAAATTATAGAGCGATAATTTTGTAATTCTCCAATTGGGTATTGCTATATTTCGAATCGTAACCATTACAATATTTACCTTTACTGATGCCGCAACCATTCAAAGTCTTTTCATACCGAGGTAAAATTATATAAAATTTAAAATCAATATTACAAAATTACATACTAAATTTTTATATTTAATTTATTCAAAAATTACAAACAATTAGTGTAGTATTTTTAATGCTTCCTATAGCAGTCAATTTAACATTAGCATTTACAATATTATATTCGGAGAATAATGAAGAGTTTACTAAATGGTTTAAATATCATGGAAGAGTTGCTACTACGATCGCATTATTATCTGGTGCAAACATTGATTTATTATTAATATTGAAATCGCGCTTGATGAAAATTAAAATTTTTGATGCACCATTGTCCAATAAGTCATTGTCAATTATTTTTTGGGGAGCTTGTGCAGATATAGTACTGGGTGATATTGAACAACTAATTATTCAGGTATATATATATGTTAAATAAAGTTTATACTTTTAACATTATCACACAATTTACTTACAGAATTTTCTAACAATATCATTTATATCAATTATATATTAGATAATTTATATTTACTATACTATAGAATATGATGCTATTGCGTTATTCACTATAATAGCATCAGGTCTTGCAACACTTTCTAACGTAACTAGTAAATTATTCTTTATCAAATTCAAAAAACTTTCACCTTATCATAAAGATGAGGATAAATTAGGTAAATCGATTGAAATACCTAATGTGAACCGATCAATTGAACAGAAAGAAAACTCTGAAGAACCTTATGATTATAAATCAGTTGAACAAAAAGAAACCCCTGAAGAACTTGGCGATAATTCGGAAGGCACTAATGTGGAAAGTTAACTAAATATATTGTGAAATTAAATGAACTCTGTTATTAAAGTTTATCTATTAGTGAAAATATTATAGTAAAAATATATATATCTAGTTTATGTAAAAATTGTAGATACATTTTAATAAATATAAATTTATCTTATTTATTCTAGCGAAATATACTAATGCTAGGGCCCGGGCGTTGCCCGTGTATGAGCTTTCTAATTTTCTTTTTTGTCTTAGGTCTGAGTTTAAATAACCTAGTTTGGACTCAAATAAACCCATCCTAGGTTCAAATAGACCCGTCTTGGGTCCAAATGGACCGTCTTGAGTTCAAAGAACCCATCTTAGGTTCAAACGAACCCGTCTTGGGTTCAAACGAACCCGTCTTGGGTTCAAATGAACCCGTCTTAAGTTTAAATAAACCCATCTCGGGTCCAAATGAACCCGTCTCGGGTTCTGACTTGGATTTATGTGAACCCAAATTGGGTTTATTTAAATCCGAATTGGGTTTAAATGAATCTCATATATAGTTGTCGTCCAAATAGTTATAACTATTGGTCCAAACTGGTTATATCTGAAATCTTGTCCCAAACCCAATTCATTCCACGGCTTTAACTAGTCCCAAATAATGGTAATACCTAGAAAGTCCCAAAGTACCAAACTAGTTAGGTTTTGGCAGCAACTATAATCTCATATTATCTAGTTGATTAGATATTTAATTAGCATAGAGGACGATGATTTCTGGGATCGACATTACACAAGTATTTATATAGTACGGTGGAGTCGCTTAAAGGTAGGTACATCACGATGATCGATGATCATCGGACAATCACGGGGTATATCATTCTAGTATCGAAAAAAGCTGCGGCCGCGTTGTATATACCAGGCGCACGATTTGTCACGCAGATCACGGGGGTAAATTTTTTACTATGAAATTTGAGTGATCGACATTCATATGAT